ATACAACAGGAACAAAGAGGCTTATGTCTGAAAACCAGATTATACCTACAGTATTAGTTTCAGAGGGCTACTGTGTAAGATTACCATACACTTGGTATCTGAAAACAGATATTTAATCTTCCAAAGTTCTGGAGAACAGAAGCCCAAAATCAAGGTGTAGGCAGGAACATACGTTAGGGAAGATTTTAGGGGAAATTCTGTTCCTTGCCTCTTAAAGTTTCTGCTTTGTGGCTGTATATTCCAAGCTCTGCCTCCTGCCTATATATGGCTTTCAGCTCTTCTGAGTCTCTTTCTTCTGTAGGTCTTTTTATAAGGACATTGATCATTGAATTTAGGGTACATGCATATAATCTACAATGATCTCAACTCAAGATCCTTAAGTTAATTACATATGCAAAACCCTTTTTCAAATCAGGTCATATTCACAATTAAGGTGAACTCACAGAGATTAGAACATGGATATATCTTTTCGGGGGGACCGCCATTCAACCCACAGCAAGCACCACTCAGTATTTCCAAACCCAGAGGTTAAAAGCTAATAGGCAACTAGAGAAATCTAAACCAGGCAAGATTACAAAGACCTCAGATTCTTCAGTAATGATGGTCTGGGTAAATACAACCACAACCAACTTAAGTGCTGATTGAGAAAACAGAGAATATGAAATGGGTAAATGATCAGCTGTACATACATATTTCTTCCTTACTGCATATACATATCTGTAAACATTTAGCAAATTTGTAAATAATTACAAATTTACTTTTCTTCCTCTACTATTTCATATAAGGTATACTGGTTGTAGTTAATCTTATAGTTTATTCTTCACAGTATGAAAGGGATATTATGACTGAACTGACTGAACTAAAGATGAATGACTAACATCCAAAAATGGATATAGTGACTCATAGAACTTTGAGTCTCCCAAGTTTAGGAAAATGTAAACGCAGCATGTATTGGTACATGAGCTGGTTGCACAGTGTTAAACAGAAACATGATATTGTTGCTACTGCTGTTGCTTACATGCATGAATACTGAGGTGACAAGAGACAGACTTTACTGTACAGCCAATAAAGCATCATTTCCATTCATTCTTACACTCCCTTCTGTGAAGAAGAGAAGCCTACATTTTCCAGGATCCCATGCCAGGAGTACTACAGATTAGGCATTATCAATGATCTATGCAATATATAGAAGGCACAAAAGAAAGCAACTTCTCCCCTCTGGTGGCAGCTGTGAGTAGGACTGAAGCATCTACAGATGGCATAAATCGGATTTTGCCACTACTGCCAAGCATCTTCCCGAGAATCCTTTACTTGGTGTCACAGGCAGCTAACATCTTTAAAAGCAGCAGCATCTTGTGTCTTATGAGCATCCTGAGAATAACCCACCAGGGTCCTGAGATTAGCAGGTTATCAAGTTTAATAGATTTCTGAGCATTATTCTGAGAATTACCAGTGGCAAACAGTTGAGATAATTTCCAGGGACTGCATAATTTTAAATTTTTTAACTTGGAAACGATCTCAAACTTACAGGAAAACTCCAATATGACACAAAGAAATTTCCTTTACTTAGACCATGGAGAGTAAGCTGCTGAGCAAATGTTCCTTTCCTCCAAACATCTTGGTGTACGTTTCATACACACAAGGACATTTTCCTACGCAACAGAAATGACTAAAAGTTGGAAATTAACATTGATATGAACCAGCCACTTCTCTAAGGAAGGCTGGTACCTTTTAGTGAAGAAAGATGTTAAGAGGCCAGGGCCTGATGAAAGCTAGGTATTTTCAATCCTATTGGAATTAGCATTGCTCCCAGGCCCTTTCAGTGACAAAGGTAGGGAATTAACATATATACACATCCATCTGCTTCTATACATGTGTACACATACACACATTTGTACCTCTGTATGTATGTGTGTATATATGTATCACCATGAGTTCACAAAGATACCTATGAGTCCAATCTAGTAACATGATCCATTTTAGTTTTCTCCCTTTGCATACCTGTAACTCTTATCTGACAATGAGAAATGTGGCTCTCACTATACTTATTATTTGATCAACTCTACATATGGAATCCATCCCTCAATCCTATCACCCACTGCACCCCAACCCCCAGCCAACATGGGTATCCATTTTCAACTTACCTGGGCTCCAACCCCATTGACTGGGTCCACACAAGAAGCTCTCCTTAACCTGTTTGGGCTCTGAAACCCCCACGGGCCACCTCTCCTACCTCCAGCACGGCAGCCTATCCCACTTCTAGATACCTTAAGAGTCAGCAATAAGTCTAGGTAGCAATAAGTAAGTATCTTCAAAGTACTGTTGTCAGTAGCACAGTTCCAACTTTTTATTTATGGTCCAAACGCCATAAATGGTCTTCTTGACCTTCACTGACTAGTCCTTTCAGTAGTTGTTTAAGTATTTCTTTGCCTATATTCCTATTATATTCAAAATACTTACAATAACTTCTGTTCCCCCAACCCTAATGGATATAGTCATTAACCATTTATTCAAGCATTCATGGAATGAACTATTTTATATATGTGTGTGTGTGTGTGTGTGTGTGTGTGTGTGTG